TCTTGAGGCTTTAATTAATTCATTCACGCACTCATTCATTCCTGCACTCAGACATTTATTCCGCAAATCTATTGGACACTTACTCTGTCTGTGCTAGCGAAATAGTGAGCTGAGGCTTAAGTAGTGAAGACATTGTCTGTGCCAATGAGAGAGGCTGACTCAGCTCTTTTTGATGCAGTTTAGTCTGACCTGGCTGGGTATAAAAAAATCTGAAAGTCAAAAGTCAAAGACAGATTAGCGTAAATAAATTTGCCTTTGGGGATGACTGGTTAGCTCAGTTGGCTACAGTGTGGTGCTGATAACACCAAGGTTGCTGGATCGATCCCCGCATAGGCCACTGTGAGCTGCGCCCTCCCTAAAAGAGTCAACTATACCATTGTAGCTTGAAAGCAATGTGTAACCAAGGACCATGGCTGTTCCCCAATAAAAAATTTAAAAATAAATAAATAAATTTGCCTTGTTCTAGTATTAAATTCTTTTCCCAGTTACCTCCTCATACCCCCCCCCTCATTAGGAGCTCAGATCCAGGCATATGACAAGAACGCTTCCAGAGAATCCTAGAGCTTTCTCTGTACTAGACGCCTCCAAAATTTTATCCATTGTATTGCTGCAGTAGATTTATCTTTTTATTGGGTTGTCGGAAAAGTCATGACACATTTTTGCAACGAAAAACATAGAAAAAATACGTCATGACTTTTCTGACAACCCAATATTTTAGTCTTTGAACCTGCACTTCCGTGCTTACTTTCTAAGTGTATTTGCTAAAGCAAGATCAATATGTGGACAGAAATTTTCCTCAAAGGCATAAATATAATAGGTTTTCGGTATATTCTAATGAGTGTGTCCAGAGAATACCTACAGAAATAATACCGCTGGCAAGGCAGTTTTTCCTCAAGAACTTGAGATGACCTTCACAGTAGAAAAGGAAGAATACTTTTTAGTCGTTAAGGATCAAAAGAAATTTTTTTTCTTGTCTATTAGAATAGGAAAGACTCCTTTTTGGAGAGGAACATTTCAGGCCTGCTTTGAATAAAAAAATATATTTTTATTGTTCCCACTATTGCCACCTGGTGGACGAAGGGGATCCCTTTCCCGCGCACATAGAACTATGTGTTAGAATTACCACAAGATGGCAGCACACAACCAACTTTTCAAAGAGCCAGGCTCAAAATAATTCAGGATTTTGTTCCTCAAAAGAGAATGTTCTATTCCAACAGAAGAGGGATAAGTAGGAAATAATAGTACAGAATGAGGACTCGATTTTCTTTTCCTAAAGACAAGTGGGATTCCAAGTCTTAAGATCATTAGTATTTCACAAAAGTATTTCACAAATTTCATAAACCACTTCATTTATTGCAATAGGGAGGGCTTCCTAAAATTTAAGTGGTAAGTTAGTTTGGTTTTTAAAGATATTCCAAGAAAATGTACATTTTATATGAATTTTTGTGATCCTTTATTTACATAGCGTAATATTTGGTCAATACTTTTAAATCCTTTTAATGAGCTCTTTTTAATTGATTAGTAGGGTAGTTTCTGTTCTCTAAGGTCCGACGAGAACCCAGAGACTCTCCCTCAAGCCTGCGGCAGTGACTGGTTAACCCTGGCACATGGCGTTTTCTCCTGACCAAAATGCTGCATAATCAATCTGCTTCCTTAGCACTTCAATGTGCTAGCTTCCCTCAATGTTTTTCTTGTTTATCTGTATTGTTGCAGTGGATTTTTTTTAAAATTTTATTCTTTGGGCCTGCACTGCCGTGTCTTACTTGTTAAGATATATTTTTCTCTTTTTCCACTGAACTTTCACTAATAGTCCTCTCTAGAAGGTATTTTACCACAAATCTGACAACTCTTATCTATTGAACATTTGCTATGTGTCTGGCACCATTCTAAGTACAGTATGATAAGTAATCTAATTTATAGCACAGATTTATAAGAAACATGTTAATTAAACCCATTTTACAGATGATGAGACTGAGGCAAAGAGAAGTTAAGTGATTTTTTTCCCTAGTTTAAGCAAGACCATTGGTCTTCCTGCCTGCCCAGTTTCCTGAACAATTGCTTGCAATTATTCCCATGAGGCCTATGGAGCAGAAGAAACCAAGTGTCCTTTACATGAAGATGGTCCCATTAGGGATCTAAGCCCCTTTGGGTGAAGGGCACCTCTTCATAACCTTAAGGGTCCTTATAAATTCTAAATAACGATAAGCCAAAAGGCTTAACTGAAGAAAGAAGTTGCACTTCTCGCAAGGGTGGAGCCAATCTCTCCTCAGTCGATACTGAATCATTTCAATGTGCCAGCGATAACCCTAGAGTTATATAGGCTATCGTCATATCACCTTGCTTTCATAAAAATACCAGAGGTGTATTGGGGAATAAGGGATAGGATACCACCTGGAGAACTGGGAACACTGAATTTCAGTCTCAGCTCTGCCTCCCACGATCTGTGTCACCTTGGGTAACTGATTAGCCTCTCCGGGCCTCAGTTTCCTCATACTTTGATGAACACATTCTCTATAGTGCCTTTTCAACTGTTTTTAAGGCAATATGTTGATTTCAAAAAAAGTTGTCAGAGCAAGTATCATGAAAAAAAAAAACAAGTGGCAGCGTGTTTCATATCAAGTGAAACATCCATGGGCAGATGATCAGGGTGGTCAACAGGTAGAGACCGGTGTTTTATACTTTGGTAGAACCTGGCTTCATGTCTGGGGTAAGAGTGATAGTAGTTGGCTGGCTTCTGCTCAGAGAGGAACACAATTCTCGCTCCATTATCCTGCCTGGACTTTTACACAGAAGACTTCCATTATTTCTGCAAGTCATGGACGAGCTCTTTAAGAGCGGAAGGGCAGGTGCTGGTGATTTTGAGCATCTTCAGAAGTGCATGCACCTGGAGGTCCATCAGCAATCCTGATACAAAAAGAACATTCACACAGGTCTCCCTCTGCACCCCACATCTGACCAGTGTAGGGAAACTGCCTTACATGTAGAAACAGCTTGCTCTGATGAAGAGCCTGTCAGACACCTGTTTTGCTAATGCTGAGTTGTAGTCAAACATTTTCAGGACTTCAAATGCCAGGACAGTGTTGCTCTTCTTATGACCGTCATAAGAATGCCAGAACACAGCAGCATGCTATTTGAGGGCTTCGAGTTGTGAACTCCTTTGGATGGACAAATGAACAATCTGCGAGAGTCGGAATTATTAGATTGCACTGAACCTCAGAAACTTCGCAGACCTGATTCTAAAGATCTGACCCCTCTGTGCTCAATCAGAAAATAAAGAACTTAGCTCGTCAGACTCTCTGTTGTTTTAACAGAGTCTCAGACCCTCTGTTAGGAGGATGATTGGCATATATTTATGTTTCTCATATTTCAACGATTCTAGATCATCCACTTGGGCTCACTGAGCATTCAGAGTACCTTCATGCACTGGCTGGGCTACAACATGGAACAGTGACAGACACAGCCTCTGCTTCCACAGAACTCTCAGTCCAGTAGTGAAGACAAGCATTAATCAAAACTCCAGGCAAATGTATTTGAAACTGAAACTGAGATGTGTGTTATGAAACAGAGCAGAGCTTATAATAAAGGGACTTAATTTTACCAAGGAGACTAACTTCCCCGTGTAAGTGATAACTGAATTCTGAAAGATGAGTGGAATTTCTGGTAGAGATATAGTTGAGTCACAGACCCTATGGTACCATGGAGAATAAAGGAAGGCTTCTGGGCTGGAATACAGAGATGATAAACATTGATAAGGCTGGAGAGGCAAGGGGGCACAGACACGGACGCCATGCTAAGAATTTTGGTGTCTATCCTGGAAGCCATAAGAAAGCACGAATGAGTTTCAAGCAGGACAGTGAGGTGACTAGATGGCCAATTCAGAAGGCTCTCTTTGGCTTCAGAGTCCAGTCACTTTCCTTCCTTAGTGAAAGCATGTTATCCAAGGGTGCAAGGCCTTGGGTCCTGACCTTCAAGGAGAAGAACATCCATACCCCACAGCCATAGTTAGGGCTCCTATATCTGACCAACCATTCGGTTGGTCCTGAGATTCAAAATGGCATCCTATGAAAATTTTCCATGTTTACTTCTAAAAATCTAAGAGTATTGTGGTCTCGGTGATAAGGATACTTAAAAGGGAATACAGTATTTGACCTGTATGAGCTCTTCTAATCCTGATATTTATTTATATGTTCAACAAGTATTTATCAAATATCTACTGCATGCCGGGCTCTAATCTAGGCACCAGAAATATAATGGTGGGTGAGACATATACACAGCTACCACTGAAGCACATATTCTAATAGAGAAACTCTAAACAAGCAAGTAAGTAAATGCATAACATGATGCCAATTAGTGATAAGTGCTATTAATATTAGTAAATCAGAGTAAAGGAATAGAAAGTAACGGAGGGTACCATTTTTGATAAGGTGATGGGAGAAGTCCTTCCTGAGTTGGTAACATTTTAGCAGAAATCTGAATGAAGTGACTGAGTGAGCCATTCAGCGACCTGGGGGAAGAACATTCCAAGCAGGTGAAACGGCAAGTGCAAAGGTTTTAAAGTTGGAATGGATTTAGCATGTCAGATGAAAAGCAAGAAGGTCAATTGGCTTGAGTGTGTAGCAAGCCAGGGGCAACATGGTACCATGGTGTTGGGAGCCAGACACATTCAATCATTCCACTAAATCACAGTCAAGAGATCTTTTACATGCCATACTCAGAGTTCTTATACGTGTCTACACACATAACACATGACATCAAGTATTTGTAGTTGCAAATTGATTTTGCCACCTTCAGCTGCACAACGTTTGTTCCAACAAAACAATCTCTTTCCACCACGTGCCTTTCTTTCAGTCTCTACCGATATGTGTTCCTATTAGAATGTTCTTTTCTCTTTTTCTCTCATTCTCCTTTCAGTGGAGAGTACCAGGCTACCTCTGTGTGTATTCTCAATTGACAAAGAATTTTTTTATATATTTTTGTTTTGCTAAATGTTTCTTTTTTAGAAATTGGCACCACCATGCACTTCAAGCAAAAAGGTATGGTTCTTATTTCTGATTACCTTTTTATATGTTAAAATTAAAATTTCACAGTAACGTATCGGGGTCTTATATACTGGAGTTTATTTCATCTCAACAGTTTGTGATAATAATTTCCTTAACACATTTGCCACTACTTTTCCCAAATTGTGAACTTTATTGTCTCAAAAAATCTCTTGGCCCAACCCATGACTACTATAGTGCTTTAGACAGTTACTTATTTTTAAATATCTGGAATTGAACAAGTTATCTCCCCTCCCACATTCCTTATTTTAAGTGTCTCTGGTTAATTCTTGCAGAGCTGCACTTTTGGAAATATTCACTGCCCAATGACAGGGCTCTCAGAAGAGATATACTTGACCACCCATTGTTGGCTATTCAAGTAGATACATTGCTAAGGGAAATAGAGCAAGGTCTCCTAAAATGAAACACTTGAGCATTTAATACTCGCACCTGCCTCAGCATTCTCCCAGGTCTTCATATAACCTCCACCTGCCGCAGCACACCCAGGCTGCTGGGACCTCCCAGGAATTGCCCTTTTGTGCCAGCCATGTATTAATGGCACATAATTCGCATACCTTCCCTTACAAAGACAGTGAAGTCAGGTCAAAGCTTCATGAAATGGATCCTAAGATGCCAACACTGATTCTAAGGTGTCCTCTTTGCAAGTCTAACAGAAATCCTTCACAATGACCGCCCCCAGACCAGAGCCATAGAGGAATCTGGGTGGCCAGACACTACCCCCATGGCCACCCAACTTGGTCTGTAATTGTCTCAGAAGAAGATGGCATCTACGCTGAACCTCAAAGGAGATGAGACAACCAAGATCATTATCCATAGTGAAAACCTATTCTTGTGAGATTTAGACCCCACAGTGACCAAGAGCCACAGAGATTATGTATACAGTGTTACTGACTCTCAGGAAAGGGCCAGCACTTTATTGCTCGCTCTGGCAAGCCCTCACAGAGGGCCTCAGGGAGGAGGCAATCGGAAATATATACATAGGACCAAGATCATTGGGGCAAAAAGGTATAAACTGCTATTCTCTTCAGCCCTTCTTCTCTCCCCACTACCATGATTATCAATTATATTTGAACTTTAAATGGCTATTTATGGAGCATATGATATCTCAGGGCTTTGGTATGAATGGAGAAACAGGGCGTAGGGTCGTGTTTGTTGGTTTGTTTGTTTTGTTTTTATTTCAAAGACTATTGAGATAAATCCCTAGTGTCACCCAAAGAAAATCTAAGTATTGGCCTAAAATTTCAGAATTTTGCATGCCAAAATATTTGGTGCTGTTTTAATGGGAAAATGTGGTAAATCCAACTTTACTGTGAGACTACTTCAGCCTTACCCAAGACTCACTTTATAGAGAGGAGAGAGAATTACATAAAGAATTATGTAAGAGGAGCCAAAATTTAATTCCAAGACACAGTGCTCAAAGAAAACATCAATATATTTCCTCTTCTAATCTACTCCAGCCTGGAGATTATAGTATAAACTTTAATCCCCAATTCATTCACCCAAAGGAAGCGGTACTTGCTGAAAATGGACAGCAGGTGGCGCCAAAGTCAGTTTTATCAGACTTCCCTTAACCATGGGTTCTCAGGACAGGGACGTGCCTTAGTCGGCATCTAGATAATATCTAAGATTTGGTTGGAGATTACTTTTCTCCTTCACGTAACAATTGTTTTGTATATTGTTTAGGTTTTTGGTTTATTTTCAGTCAGTCAGCCCTTAGTAACTCCAAAATAATCCAAACTTAAACTTGCCTGGCTTTCCTTCTTTTCTTGTATGGCTGAATAAAATGACGACGGGCCTCGATCCCTTAGTACCTAAAAGGAAGGCCCAAGGATCGCTGAGGGTGTGACTAATGATTATTTTGAATAAATTTAGTCCCCAATCCAGGAAATGAGCCCTAAGTACTCAGGAGAAGCAACAAAATGTGTTGGACAGGTTTGAATCACAAAGTGTCCCTAAGCGCGTGCTCTCTCTCTAAAGCAGGTGTTGAAAATTACCTGTCTTTTCTTTGAGATTTTACTGAAAGATAAATCAATTGGCTCAGCATCCTGCATCAGATTTGTAGAGTAGAGACTCTGCCAAAAAATTCTCGTATTCCGCAGTTTCAGGATGTTTTTATCAACCTTCTCCTTAATCACAAATCCCCTTTTTAAGCATTGTCATGACAAAGTGCAATCCAGCATTTACCTCGATACAGCCTCACTTATCATCCCGTCCTGGGGGAGAGGGGGGCTCAAGGACCTTGACCAGGTGTGTTGACTCAAGATTCTCAATCTTGCTGCAGCTGAATTTTGACCCTTCAGGTCAAACATGAAAAGCCTTGACCCAATTCACAAACCAGTGCCTTTGATTGAGGTATTTTGTGCCTTTCTGTGCGATAGCATCTGTAGTTAATAACAATAATGATGATGCTACCATTTATTGAATGTTTACTAGATACCACGCACGTAAGTGTGTGCACACACACATATAGAATGTGGCTAAAGACCAAGATAGGGTTTTTGTCTGTTACATGAAAAACATGTAGCAATTTTTGAGTCGTGGCTCTATTTGCGCATCTATTCTTAAGGCTAATTTATGTTTGCAGACTCTTGCTTTCATTATATCTGTCGGTATATAAAAGCACTTGCTGAGCCTGGCCATCTGCTGTGGAAAATAAGATTTATCATTTGCATTTCCACAAATAAGCAGAAATTTCAGAACTATGAACTAAAATATAATTAATGATTTTGCTGGTTATTTTTCCCTGAAATGGCCATTAACCGAAGTAAGTCTCTATGCAGTCATGTATATGTAACTATAATTACATACACACTTGTAATGCAGTCATGTATATGTAACTATAATTACATACACACTTGTGATCATTTCCCAACTATCACCCTTTATCCTTGCATTTTTTCAAGACTATTTATTCTCAGAACCAATTGTGAAAAGAGCAAGTCCTATAAGCATATCAAATAGCTTATGTGAGAGCACTTAATAAATAGTAATTCATAGAGATGAAGATATCTTTAACAGAGCCACAAAATGCACTTCGAATATATAATAATTCTATTAAGGATAAAATTAAAGATTATTAACACAATCATATACTGGGATTCCCTATATGTAAAACAGACTAGCCCGTGAAAGTAATAGAAAGTAATTCTCAATTATGTGTATGAAAAGACCAATAATACCTGTGTAATCACGTGTTTAAGAGTATGCATATAACACATTCTTCTCTTTGTATCTATGTATCTATGTGTATACATACATTAGCAAGAATGTTATATTCAACATGTTTATCTAGCTTCATATGCATGTATTTTTCAATGATGGAATTTTTGCTTTCTCAATATTTACTGCCCTTCAAAGAAAATGATAACATGAGGCATTTTAGACTTCCCCAGGTACCACTCAACTCCAAGATGTCTGAAAGATAATCTAGCCTGTCCCAGCACTAAAAATGAGATTAAGGAAACGGGTAGAATTAGACTGTTTCTGAAAACCTTCTGTTTCACAGTATCCCTAGAGCAAAACAAAAATCAATTTTGCTTAACACTGTGTGGCCTTAATTTGTGTGTAGTCTTTCTCTCTTTTGGAAGCTTCACTGACACACTAATTCAAAAAGATGTGCCACAGAGCTCATGCCATCTAGAGCACATAGAGGAACTGCAGTGATAGGGAATCACGTGGCCATCAGGCCAGGAGCCCTAGGAAGCTGCCATTAAGAACTTAAAGGTTCCAAAAAGCCAAAAAAGTCAGGGGTGGGCGAAAAAGAGGGCGTGGATTATAAGGGCCATTGAGCTAAGCCTCAGAACACCTGGATTCTAGCATCTGGTCCACAATTACTAATCAGGTGCTTTATGAAGGATACATGATCTTCTTGAACCTTAATTCTTCATGAAAGGCATGAACCTGAAGGTAGCTAAATTGCCTTTTTGTTAATATGATCCTATAGCCATTCAGAAATTCAAGAATTGATTGAATATTTAAATTCTTAATCTGTATTTTCAGAGCTTTACATATAATAAAGCTCATTTTACACAATAACTATGCTGTTTAAAGTTTGTATATATTCATATTTTTATATTCAATACTATTTTTAATATCCTCAAGAAGACATCTAGTCAAAACATGCTATGGAAAAACATTTTTTTTAAAGATAATAAATGCCTTCAAGTTGTTTTGTTTGTTCTGGCGATTGTTTTAAGCCCAAATTTCTTTTGCCCAATGTTTGACTAGAGACTCATCGTCACCCCTTCAGTGGGTAACTTCACTGTGCAGTGGTGACAGTCAAAAACTCTGGAGCAAGCACCCTGGGTAAAACCCAAGTTCCTCTACCTACCAGCTGTATAAACTTCTGCAATTGATTTCACCTCTTTCGTCCTCTGTTACCTCACTGTAAAACGGTGCTCATTATAGTACCTGCCTTGTAGCACGGTTGTTTGTCTCCTTCTATTTATAAAATGTTTATAGCAGTACACTGTAGTAACAGCTACATCATTGTTTGTTGGTTTTGTTTGGTTGTTGCTATTATTATTTACATAAAGCATAGTTTAGGGAACATTTTTGAATTCGACATTTTTCCTGTTATTTTACCTCTGATACAGTATGTTTGTTGACAATTTTGGCAACATTCACATATCAGAGGAGGCTTCCATTGTACTGACAAACCATCCTAGGTTTAGACACACACACACTCACTCACATACTCATTCACACACATTAATTTGCATACGTGCCCCCAAAACTTCAAAGTGACCCATAATTACAATCACCCTAATCTCTTTTGAACGTCATCATTTAAGCAGTCAGCCTTAAATCCCAAAGTCTTTGTTGTGAAAAATACTAATTATTTTCTTCTTTTAATGGATCTATATGAACAGAATTATACAAAAGGAGAAAAAGCACCAAGCAAAGGCATAGGAGACAAGCTTTTCAGACCTACATTTTCTGCCCCAATCCTCCTCTTTCCGTCAACACACAGACCCCTTCTCCACTCTCCTCTCCATTTCAACCTCCCTCTTGGATCTATACCCCTATACCTCAAATCATGTCTATACGGGAAAAACGAGGGTGGCAGTGGGCAACACACAAACAGCCACTCCAGGTTGAGTTCTGGGCAAGTTCAAGTCTCAGTTTGGACCTTCTTCTTAACCTCTCTAGGTTTGTTTGCTTGTCTTCTGTTGTTGTTGTTGCCTTTGCTTTTGATTTTTAATGTGTCAAATAAAGAGTTTGCACCAGATGATCCCCTGCTGCCTCTTAAGACTCTGCAATGAGTTGACTTATTTTCCACCTTGCAGCCAAGGTGCCACCCAGTCATACATATTACTTTGAAACAATTCCTTTCCCCATAGCCAATAAATAATTACTGCTTCCCTCTTGAGAAACAAGAGAGTCACAGATTGGTTCCATGTTTTATTAATGGTGATGCTGTGATGAATCGGCTGGAGGAGCCCGTGTCTGTCTGCTGAAGGACCCTCACCAATGCTTGGAATCTTAATGAATGCTGGCGTCTCTGTGCAGAGCAGAGCATGCAAGGGAAGGCTGGTCCTCCATCGGATGCATCAGTGATAGCCAGTCCCAGGTCTTCTCTGATAAGAGTCCATTGAACTTACAGGAGTTTTAACCAGTGATACCCCTTGAGATACTTACAGCTCAAGGAGAAGGATGTGCGAAAGATGGTGAGCCCTTTTTGGGCTGTACGTAAGCATGCTGACTTTGAGGCACTGAAACCTGGCCTGGTCTTACCTCTGATACTGTCAGCAGTCAGCTGTAACAGAGTGGGCCAGATGTAACTATTCTCTTTTCTCTCTCTTTTGCGCTGCAGGACCTGGGTCGGTGAGAGGAATAAATGGATCCATCAATCTGGCCGTACCACTGTGGCTGCTGGCAGCATCTCTGCTCTGCCTTCTCAGCAAATGTTAATAGAATAAAAATTTTAAAATAATTTAAAAAAACACACAAAAATGCGTCACACAGGATACAGAGAGAGAAAGAGAGAGAGAGAGAGAGAGATGGGGGAGGAGACCGTTTATTTCACAACTTTGTGTGTTTATAAATAAAGGGGGAAATAAGAAAATGAAGAAGAAAATACAACATTTAAAATACTTTTAAAGTCCTTCAATAAACATTTGAGTATAACTCAGGGTGGGAAAAGTTCCACCAGGATATGTGTATATCTAAGCAAATGTATGTTGTAAAAACACTACATCATGGTAAGGACATCCAGATGTTGTAAAAATAAGACAAGGGAAGAAGTACCAGATGGATATTAACCCCCCACACACACATTTTATCCTTTCTTCATCCTTTTTCATCTGTGAGGAAAGAAAAAATAAGGTCTTGCCTTTGGTGTTTATATTTCCATCACCTTTTTATTCTGTTTTTCATTTGAGCTGACTCGTAACCGTTTCAGACTATCGATGGAATCCAAGTTGGAGTCCTGTGTTGAGCCTTTATCTGGCTTCCCTGCCTCCACTAGCTCCCCAATTTTTAAGACCACGTCCCCCCCCTCTCCAGTGTGTTCTATCTCCCCCGCATCCATCCCAGATATTCCCTTTGAATCCCTGCCCCCACCCCCACCACTCCTTGCTCCCACCAACCCCCCTGAGCACTAGCCATGCCGCAAATGCTAGGAAGTGCCATTTTAATTTTCTCCACTGTGCGTGCGTGCTCACGTCTCTCGCTCTCACGTGGGTGTACATGTGTGTGAGCGTGTGTGTCTCTCTCTAAAGCATGCCAAGGGAATGGTCCATGTGTACATAGACTCGTGCTGTAGATACTGTCCCGCATTGTAATTGTGAGACGCGGCTGTGACAAGTTGCTGGGGGGCATGGTGGGGAAGGAGGCAAGGAGCAGGGTCCCTCCCCCCATCCATGGCTGTCACATGACATCAGTGTGTATTCCAACCAAGCTGTGCCCCTTCTAAGGGCAGAACCTCATAGTCCTCCTAGTCCAATCATCAGAACCCAGTCGAGAGTCACTCAGAATATCACTGTAAATGAAAGTGCCTACTATTGATGGGGTGAGCAAACAGTAGAAAGAACCAGTGATGTGGATGAGGTGGCCTAGGAGAGAAGGTTTCTGAGTTCGCTCTTGTTCCATGAGTCTGAGGGATTCATAGATTGTTCTGGCTTGTTGCAGGCTTGGTCCTGCTCTGCTGCAGGAGTGAGTAGCATGTATTGAGAAAATCCCTAGAAGCAGGAAGGTCTCCAAGTGTTCATTCCCAATGAAAGGGTGAGGAGCCAAGTGGAGATCCTAAACAGCCCTCCCTGATCTTCAGATAACACTGCATTTGCCCCACGGATTCCCTTGAGCAGAGATTGTTTCCTATTTCAGATAAGATACAGTGAGAGGGAGAGAGGCAGGAAAATTGGACAGATGCCTGGGTCCCTACTCGGATTGTAGCGATACTGTTGGAGCTCTAATACAAAGCACTGACCATAGCAAAAAGGAATCCACCCCTGTGCTCCTTTGCAGATTTTTTTCCTAGTGTTTTAGGCCAATACTTTATTTGGTTGCCCACATCATCTCCCTTCTGTTCTACTGATGGTGTTTTCAGCACCATTGTTCATAGTAAGCCACCATTATCCTAGGCCAAGCCACCAGGAATGGCGTGATATTCCACTTTCCCTGCTCACTTTTGGCTTCTAGTCTCTTGAAAAAGATACAGTGGGGGATATGATGTTTACGTGTATGAGAGTCATCTTGCCACTAACACTGAAATATGACTTAGTTTCTTAACCAAGAGAGCTGGGAAACTTGTAATAATCTAGACAGAAGTAGTATGTGTACCACAAAGCTTGGCATCATCACAACACCAGAAGGATTTTCTTAGGAAAGGCCTCACAGAGAGAGCTGGCTCTGTGTGTAGATATCTCTGTCAGGAAACCAACCATCGCTTTCACTTGGACTGTAGGAGGCATTGGAAATGGCTCAGTTTATGAAAGGATAGGGAATTATTTTTGAGGTCATAACTGAAAGTATTTTAGCAGAGCCAAATATAGTACTTCACCTAGTTTTGGAGCCCGAAAAACAGCAGTTCACATGATATAAACCAGGAAACTTTATAACTGCAAATTCAAAAAAAAGGGAAGAGAGGAAGCAAGGAAGGAAAGAAGCAAGGGAGGAAGGAATGAAGGAAGGAAGAGAGAAAGGGAAGGAGGAAGAGAGGCAGAAAGAAAGAAAATCTGCAATTTCTCTTGATAGAGTTTATCAACTGAAGGCTTTTTGCAATGAGTCTCATCTTTGAACGTAACGATCTTGATGAGCAGCACTCTTGAAATTTCTTCTAGGGGATTCTATTGTTTGTTTTAGAAGCTCATCACTAGCCTTCTTTTATGATTTTGCAGTTTAGACAATAGAGCTTGGGGGTCGGTTATTTGTGGCAAGACCTGGCATATATCAGGTAGGTCCTAAAATGTAGGGACAGTGAGCCATCTTCCTATGCAGCACCAATTTTTGACAATCAGGGATTTCTCTGACAGTCTAGTCTTCTCAGTACAGGATTAAAGTTTGTCATCCTTGATGATAGATGTTCCCCATGCATCAAAGAACCAGCCACATCCTTAAGTGGAAGCTTTAGAAGAGTGCATCTAATTTAACGATATATAAGAAGAGAAAAAGTAACAGGAGTTAATTCAGTTTAGTATCAGTTTCAGGAAGAGATCCTGGTGGCATGTCACAGATTTTAATCATACACCTAGATTTCTTATTGTCTCCACCCTATCATAAGTACAAGGTCTTGGTTTTATTGAAAGTGATTCTCCATTGAAAGGAATGTCTTTGCCATGTCAGCACCATTTGTTCCCTGAGTTTTAATATAAGGGACCATATATTAAACATAATTAGACATGTATTGAATATTGTGGTGTTTGCATATATCTCTGGCAGGATCTGGAAATGTTAAAAATGTGTCCGGGCTCCTGTTTTATCACATACTTGACCTCAGAAATCTCATAGATTTGAGAACATCTCTGAGCAATGCGAAGAATGGAGGAGGCCATAGTTTGGAGAAATGTCAGGAAAGAGGGAGGAGCCAGAGGACTGTCACCAAGAGACTGAGTCTGAGCATGGGACTGCTTAGAATTTAGTTTATCATATTGCTATAAATCCCCTCAAGAATCTTGTCCACTGTTAATCAAAGCTTGAAACCCTGCACTGAAAAGAACCCACTGGTTGTCAACAACACTCTGAGAAGCGTGAAATGTATCAGTTTATCTGAATGGCTAATATATTTAATGTTCTTTGTACTGAAAATGAAACTTCACCCTTTCTAAAAGAAAATCCTTAGACTCCATGTACAGTTAAAAAAGCAGAAATGACCTTGACCCAGGGCACTTCCTGAAGAATGAGACCTAATCCTAGGTTTTACCACTGCAGAACTACGTCCTCTGTGCAATTGTTCACCAGAAGGTTTTGCCTTGGAAGAAGTCTTACTTGTGTTGAGACATAAATTCCCTCTTTCCCTAAAAGAACTGGGGCTTAGGGAAAAGTCATTGAGTTTTCTGTTGGGAAGACTTGTCCCACTGACCATTGCCTTCTCTTCCAAGTCAGACAGACTTCTCCCTTGCCATGGGCATTTTTTCACTACATAGTCATACAACTGGGGCTATTCATAGAGACCTTGTAAAAGTACTCGTGATTTTCATGTTCTTGGAGGATAGAAACAAAACTCTGTTTCCCCTCCAAAAATGGACTTACCTCCTTTGCACACAAAAACTAAATTCCTCAGCATGAAATTGTACCTGAGTTATCACCTACCAAGTGGTTAGCTTCTTAACTACTCCAGAGTCACAGTTCCCATCCCCAGGTTGGTTGTGGTTGCACTGTTTCTATGGGCTTGTCTCCCCGATTTTTCATTTTGCTTTTTTCAGGCCTTGAATGACTTGTGGAAAAATAATATATATATGTGTGTGTATGTATTATTTTTAACCTTATCTTTACAGATGCTATATTTACAATATCATATGTATTATAAGACAAATCTAGAGTAATGGTTAAAACTTAAAAGGAAGAAAAGTACTGAATTTGGTTTAAAAAAAAGAGCTATGCTTCATTTAGAAAGACATGGAGCCCCATTTTTTCCATTTTGTAATTATTTGTTTAAAAGAATTTGTTTATGGACCATGTTCCATGGGCGTAACCATGGCCTTATTTTCTCTTCATCTTCATCATCTTTTAGCTTAGATTTAGCCTTGGTTCCCAATAACTATCATTTTTATGAAATATCTGTAATACTATTGCTGAGCTATAAAAACTGCTATTGTTTTGAGATAGATATTAAACATACCACAAAATAGTGAGATAAGACCCTGAATTAAGAAATGCAAATCAGTTTAAAAAGCCTCCTTTCATATTTAAACTATTTCTTCTTGAAAGACTGCATTTGCCCCAGTGATGTAAATTTTCCATCATGGTTGGCATAATATCTATAAACTTCTCCCTAAATGCAAAATGGAGTTTACATTTATGTACAGACTAGGGAAGAGAAGTAAACTATTCTCATTGGCATGTAGCTATGTTGTCAAATGTGGCCAACTGAAATTCAAGAAAGAGTTTTTTTCACCCAGCAATGCACATCCCTTTCCTCCTGGTAAGGAAGCTGGTGTTAACATTAGGTTTGGGTTTAACATTTACACCAGTGCAAATGTTTATGGATATTATGGGAAACTTTAAAATCTTGATTTCTGTTCAGCACATTTACATACTGTGCGCTGATTAATAAATTAGGCACCAATCATGTGCAAATCAATGTAAATCACTAGTTTATGTACATAATATAAACTATGTAAACTTCAGTTTTCAAGCAGGGCCCAAGTTCAGCTAAACCTATGACTCATAAAGAATAAAATAGACTAAAAATAAATAAAAACCAAAGCATTTCACAGGTCAGAATGGGAAGAAGTATCACTAATGGCCCAAATTTGAGGTGGCTTCAACAGAAGGAGTAAGACCCACAGGAACTGTTAGAGGTTTATATCCTGCTACCGGTCACAGGTAGCCACCTCTCTGTTCCTTCAGGACCTAAGTGGAGTTTCTCCCAACTGCTTCCACAATTGTCTCACATGACCCCAAAATAAGGGAAATGACAAGATAGGGAGGAAGGAGTTTTCAGGGCTCACGCGTCAGGTGCATCAACCCCCAAGTGTCTTTTTGTTACTTACCAGTAGCTCCAAGGAAGTTACCTACATGGATGAGCAAAATATTACTTAATTTTTATTTTCCATCCAACATAGACTTTGGGAAAGCTTCTTCATCATCTTAATCCTAAGAAATTGTGGGATATAAGAAATAGGTTATATCTTTGAGAAATATTTTGCTAAGTCACCCTAGGAAATAACTGCTTTTACTTAATCTGTAAGACCTATATTTCTACATATCTATCCTGAATATTGCAAATGAGGACAGAATCATTTTAATTGGGAGTGTCTCTCTCAGGTACGTTCTCTTGGAGCCTTTTTGAAATGCCTGATTCATTTACCAGAATGACACATAGATGTGTTTTCTACAATCTGAACAACTGCTACATAAAGAGTCATCAAAGGGATAACTTCAGAGGCTACATGAATTGTCTGCAAAGACTGTTACAGAAAGAAAATTTAGGTCAAATTAACAGTATGCATAAAATATACTCCTCTAACCAAGACCAATGACAACTTTAAAAGCATCCTGGATTGGGAGCCAGGAGAGAGAATTGGGTTCTAGCCCTGGGTCTGGCCACAGACAAGCTATATATATCACCTTAGGCAAGTCACTTAACCTTCCTGACTCTTGGCTTTTTTTCATCCTGAAAGGGAGGGATTTTGGTGACATCTCCAAAATCTCTATCAACTCTAAACTCTGTGATTCTGATTAAGAATTTAATACTCACATAGTTCTATGCCCAGGTAATCATTCCAAGCAGCTGTTTGTTGTCTCTCACTTGGTCTCTGTACTATCTTCACTTCTCAGAACCATCATTCCATCAACCCCATTTCAAAAGCCAAAACTTCTGAAAATACAGGGTTCCTGAACTGGATCTATAACTCTCTTCTGATCGAAACTTCTTAGCAATGTAGAGAAGGGACACAGTCAGACTAAACTGAAGGCATTGAAACAGCTAGAGGTTTGGGTTTTTTAAATTTATAATATGAAATCTAACTGTTGAACTACATTCTAACAACCTTTCATAGGAAGGAAAATAACCAGATTGGGTATTATGCATGTAACAAATGAGGAAGTTGTGCGTATGAAAAGAAACACCCGTTTTCTCTCGTCCTGGGCCAAGTGCCTCACTATATAGTAAATGTGGTGTCCTTGAAAGCTCTTTGCTTGTGCTGATGGCAGTAAGCATGTGGCCCCAGGCAGAGTCAAAAGGCTGTTCTGTGAGAAACAAGCAAGATAGTATATTTTGTTCTGGAAGGAGTTTCTTTTGGCATAAGTTTCCCTAAATTTGAGTTATACGCTATGAAGTCAAGCAAGTGGTTGGAGGGGAAACAAACCTCATTTTCAAAAAGTACGAGTCAATACCACTTAAAGAAAACTAGTTGAAACTAGGACAAAAACACATTTTAGGTGGTTCCAGAGCTGAATGTAGTAACAGTTGTTGTGAAGGGCAAAATCAAATGTGAAAGTCAAGTTCTCTGAGAAGAGGGTAGGCAGAACGGCTTCTCAGGTGGGTTAATCAGGAATTACTTTCTCGTGTCATGTTCTGGATGGACTGAGCTCAAGCCCATTTCTTGAACCATCAAACTGCAGCCCTACACTATCCGAGAGGCTCAACTTAGCATCTCTCCAGCGGTAGCTTTTCAAGCATTACTATCACTTTTTGTAGATAAGGATATATAATGTGCTTAGAGTATTTACAAAGCTCTCTTTAGGTAGGAGAATGACCTGCCCGTAGGACAGCTCCCCATTTCCATGGTTATTTCAGAGGCGCCTCTTTTTTGAGTAGTGCTCCTGGATGTCCTCCTACAGCTACATTCTTCTCCGCACAAGCTCTCTCGATGTAAAGCCAGGCACAGAGATAAAATCTGCTTTTTGCAAATGAAGAAAACATATGGAACTATTAGCTTCACGGCACACAGCAGTAATTCTAAGCTTTCTGGAGCCTTTTTGAACCCACTTCCCTAAGTCTTTGCTCTTCACCAGAGAAAGTGAATGGTTCATCCTGGTGAATTATGGCCAAGTTCTGCTCCCTAAGTATTTACTGGGAGTGGGGGAAGGTTAAAGGGAGGGAATTGCAGGGGGAGAGAAGCATGGGAGAAAACCTCCTACTTCCTCTCACCCCCCCACTCCCCAGTGCTTCACCACTTCCTTCTCACTGCTCTACTGAATGGTGTATAAATCCTGCTCTTGGTTAGAATTCTCCTTATTAACAGTGTTATATACATATAAATATATATATAAATATATAAATATATTCCTTTTTTTCAGCCCTGTAGACATAAACAACTTTTCTTGATACAAACACATGGCCATTTTTCTGTTTGTTTTTTGTTGTTGTTGTTCAAGGTTTTTTTAAATTTTTGTTTATCGGGTGGATTGTTTTCCCTGGATACTAGCTCTGTAAAGGAAAATAAAAAGCGCAGTGTGTGTTAAAAAAAAAATTAAAATTGAAAAAAAAAAGCTTTTTTTCTTTTCTTTTTCAATGTATTTAAATTCTGTTCCTCTCTTCTGTTACTTTACACGTATGAATGCTCTGCTCTTCTGTGATCTTAAAACAAAATGAAATAAACGTGAAAAGGAGATGTGTCTTTATTGACCTGAGTCAGTGACCTTGTGGTTGATTGCACTGCTTCTTGGAAGTTTTCATGAATAAGATAGGAAATAAAGCCGATCATAATGAAAATCATGTGAGGAAAGGATGGACAAAATTCTGAAGAATCACTTGAAGGCTGAAGGCTCTCTATCAATGTCTCTTCTCTCCCTGAAGGGAACTATGGTATTTACAATATTTGTTTTCACTTAAGCAAAGAGATTCTCTGAAAGTTTTTCTTTTTCTCCCTTAAGGATCGTAAGAAATAAGCACAAATTACCACGGGAAGCTACACAGATAAAGTATTAAGAATTTCTTGATTGTTATATTGGAGTAAGACTTTAGGAAACGATACCAAAAACATGAGAGGATACATACTTTATTTAAAGTCACTGTAATAAGGATTATCTTTAAGGGTTGGTTTTAATAAGATCTTACCTGATAACAACAGAAGGAACTAAGTTACCTTCTAAAGCCACCTCCTTTTTCTACTCATGAAAACTGTTTGTTTTTCTATTCTTGCTGAGAGCTCCTCCCTTCATGAAATGTTTCCGGAATCTCTATTGAATCCCTATAGCATTGCTCAGGACAGACAGGAGATGGCAAGAGAAGGTGAGAAATAAGCAACCCACAATCCAAAGAGGTGAGGTTCACTAACTGTACATCAGAAGTAATCACTTCTGAGGGAGGAGCTGAAATTTGACTCTTAGGAACCCAACTGGGTTAAAAAATTAAGAAAATGGATACCATATCTGGGTGGCTGGCTGGAGGAGTAGGTGAGAGTGAACAGCCATGATCAGCTTCAATAATAAAAAGGGTCTCAGACAAAAGCAAAATTCCTGGTTCCATCTGATTCACAGACAGCTTTAAGAACCCAATCTCCCCAAATTTGAATTTTATATAAAACTTTAAAAATGCTCCTCTTTAATGAGTTTGCCAAACTCAAGTTTAAAGACACAGTTCTCAAACAAGATAGCCCTCCCATCAGACACCACCACAAATTCAGGGTCCTCAGGCCACCCTCATTTCTGATCAGCTACACTATCCTCTCTGATTTTATAATTTTTAGAATGACTCACAGAATTCAAGAAAGTATTATACTTGTGATTAGTGACAGTTTTATTATAGTAAAAGGATGCAAATCAGAACCAGCCAAAGGGAGAGACATATAGAGCAAGGTCTGAGAGTCCCAAATGTAAAGTCTCCACTGCCCTCTCCCTATGGAGTCAGGACACATTACCCTCCTAAAACACTGAAGTGTGACAATGCACGGGGCCAACCAGGGAAGCTCACCCAAACTTTGTTGCCCAGAGTTTATAATGGAGTTTCATTACTTAGGCATGATTGATTGAATCATTCTTGAGTTCATTCTCCAGGTCCCCTCCCCTGCCAGGAGGTCAAGCTGATATCACTATCACATGACTCATAGCGCCTTTAACCACATGGCTGGTCTTTCTGGAATGGCCAGCCCCATTCTGAGTCATTTCGTTAGCATAAACTTTCTAGGGAATCCACAGGCGTCACCTCATTAGCATACATTATTAACTGTGGCCCAAGGGGGGCCAACATAAATAACAAAAACTCCTACTACAGATGCTTAACATGGGGTTACTTCCTAATAAACCCATTTCAAGTTGAAAATTTATGTTGAAAATACATTTAATACACCTAACCTACCGAACATCAAAGCTTAGCCTAGCCCACCTTAAATGTGCTCAAAACATTTACATTACTGAGTTGTAACCCCATCATAAGTTGAGGAGCATCTGTAATTGCCTTCCTCTTCTTCTTCCCACAAGCAGGAGACACAGCGTGTTTTGTACACATGATGGTATATGAAAACAAATACGCAATATCCAAAAAACGCTGGCAACACAGCATACTGTAGAGCGTCCACTGTTGACTCGCGTGATTGCACGGCTGACTGGGAGCTGCAGCCGCAGCTACTGGCCAACATCGGAAGAGACTGCATATCACTAGCCCTGGGGAAAAGATCGAAATTCAAAATTCGAAGTATGGTTTCTACTGAGTGCGTATCCCATTTGCACCATCATAAAGTCGAAAAGTCATGAGTCGAACAATAGTAAATCACGGACCGTTTGTACTTGGAAAATTCCAAGATCCTAGAGCCTACCTTCCAGGAACCAGAACAAAGGCTAGCTGAAGTCTATATTATGTACCTCCCATTACCAATTTTGTAAAAAACCACTTGGAGTCTCTAATAGCATCATCCCCAGCTGGCTTGAGTTTTATTTCCTTGAAGCCACAGAAGCTTCAGGGTTAGAAAGTTAACCCCACCTGAGGCTTTGCTATCATTAGTGCCTCAGAAGAAATTCCTCCTAGTACACCCCATTTTTTATGCCCACCTATTTTAAAGTATTCCAAAACAGCATGTAAAAGCTGAGAAGAAGGTGAGCCTGAGCTTCTAACCTCTTAAGCCAACAGTCGTGTTTTTCTCACCCTTGTGATCCTCATAAACATGCTTCCAGAGCCGGTGGACCCCTCGCCATTTAGCCCTTCCCCAGCCCAGACCAGTCACACTGCCCTGAATGGACTTCGCCAGGCCTGGAGAGTTATGTAGCCCATCCAGAAAGAAATGCCGCAAGAGGAGGCCTGGGTCATACCCATTCAATACATGAGCTCTCCCAAGACACAGACCTTCCCTTGACCTACCCTCACTCACCATGCAGCCTCATTCGAGGACTCTGTCTCAGGTCATGACTGGCATATAATGTGGAAAGATACAGAGCTCTTCCTGTGCATCTGATAATCCTTTGCTTTACAAGCTCCATCTTCTAGTGAGAAAGCCCAAACCAGGCTTCTTGTTGTTCTGGACATATCGGATCCTTATTCCTAAGTAGCAAGAGCCTGGTGTTGTCCCCTCTTTAATCCTCTTGTGTGATAGAATAACAGGGTACTTTCAGGGAGACAAGATACTTGGACATCAACCTGTTGGACTACCAAGGACCCCATTTACCTAATTCTGCCTCCCATATCCTAAATGAATATTGAAAAGAAAGAAGCGATAAAAACGCAGGGGAGTTGGTTTCTAAGTATGGTTAGTGCTCACAATACAGGCTGTAGTCTCTGGGCTGCTGTGAACAGAAGTCATATTAGCTTTCCCCATGAGTCCCCTTTTCTTGCTCTTGCCTATACACACCAGACCTTCACTGGAATGAACTGAACTTTTCTTTCTTTTTTTTTTTTTTTTACCTTGTTTAAAGCACCCTACATAGGCACTAGGCTTCTGGCCTTGCCAAAGTGCTTTTGAAAGTAAGAAGTAATAAAGCAGAAGTTAAAACAAAAATTCCTGATGGATGCAATCACTGTTTTCATTAACATTTTAAATGGTTATTTTTAATGGTACATTTAACTAAAGCTAACGTATCCGTGGGAAGAGAATGTGGCCATTAAGATCGGCATCTGTTGAACAAACTGAGGCTCCACATTTGGTGAATCGTGATTATAACACCAAGAATAGTACATGCGAACAGCAGACTCATTAGTGTTAATTGCTGCACTCCGTCCAACTTAAAATCTCCTGTATACATAACATTTGCTAAATACGTTATTCTTTTTGAAATAAATATACCCTAAAATATTATCACATAAATAACAATGAATGGAACTAATTCAAGACTTGCCTGTGTGATGTCGCCATGAGAAGAAAGGAGAGCTAATGATGACATCTATAGCCTTACAATGTGACAATAGAAAACCACCGTTTGTCAACATGGTGCAAAATTCAACGGAAAAGGGAGGTGCACACAGAAGGGTGTGGCCACTGCCAATATGAGGTTACTTCTCAGTGCTTAATAATTTGTTAAGTGGGAGTAGTGGAAAAAACTGAAGAGGTGTGAATACACAGATGCCAATTACCATGCAATGCATTCATTCCTTTGTTCATTCACAAATCCTCATTTGGAGACTAGTGTAAACCAAGCACCAGCTTTAATTATTCATTTGCTCCCTGAGGGCAAGCTTCTGTCCTCTGGAGTTTAAGTCTGGCTGTGAAGGCAGATACTTTATAAGTTAATCTTTTCATGATGCAAATAAGGTATTTTAATGACCCTTTCATAGTCCTGCCATTTATCCAAACAGACTGTGCCTGGAGCTGTGTCTAGCTGAAACTGGGATCACTAAAAGATGGGCTGTGAACACTGACTGGAACCAGTTACCGTGTACAATGTCCCAATTCCTTCTTTCCTTTTTTTTTTTTTTTTAAGATTTTTATTGGGGAGTTGGGGGGATGGGAACAGCGCTGGGAAATTGGGGGAAGGGGAACAGACAAGTTGCTGTCGTTTTGTTCTTCAGTCTAGTTGTGGAGGACGTTGCTTCACTGGC